CTGTAGGACTCTCCTGGAGATGGCTGCGAGAACATAGGGCTTGAACCCTCTGACAGTTATAAATATGGACTCCATGACCACAAGGGACACATAACTACTCTGTCACAAATGCAAGTTGACACCATTATAAAGTTCCTCCCAACTGTCCAGGTTCGTCGGCATTCTGGAGGGCAGAGACTTACTGGAGCAGTGCAGTTTCACAGGGGGAAGGCAGAGTTCCTTGGCGATATCTGTGTTTTTGATGGTCAAGGCTTCGTCCACCTTAGAGGCACACGGGAAAGAGAAGCAGTGTTAGTGATGCTCTGTCTTGAGGGGCAGACAATAAAAAAGGGAAGGTCAAAGAGGCCCTCAGAACAGGGTTTCTGTTAGTAACCCCACACAAAGGGCCGAGGACCTCTGAGGACCCCCACTTGCATGTCAAGGCTGTAGCCCGGATGCTCAGGTATGAAGACACCTGCATTGCTTGGCTGGGGTAAGCAAGGCTGGTAAAGACACTTCTATAAGCCGGGAGGAGAACCCGTGAGAAGTCTCTCAGGGGTCTGCTGGAGGTCAGCAACATGAGTCTTTTTTTTTTTAAAACAGTGATTTTCTATGCTGGTTTTATGACTATCAGCTTTTCCGAAGTCCTTATATCAAATGTTCAGAATAAGTCCCTTCAACTACAAGTGCTGAATGGCATCAGGGAGGTGTCAGATAGGCTGGTGGCACTCTGCCACTTCAGCCGTGGCACAGATAGGTCTTGGGATGAGAGCTCTCTTTAGGCTCATCCTCTGCCGAAAAGAGGCTAGTTCCTCCAGACTGAAAATGATGTCAGGGGTTTGGTCGAGAGCCCGAGGGCCTAACATAAAGCAGGTAGTGCACTGCCCATGTGGAACCGAGTCCCACTGCCTTTAGGAAAGCCAGATTTCCCCGTCTGTCCCCCAATTTCCCAATTCCTCTAACTCCACTGAATTATGATTTAAAGTCTGTTGCTGGAAACTCAGACGGGAGGATCTCAAGGTCAAAGAAAGACCTTCTTCCCCCATTTTCTGATCACCACTCATAGTCCCCTAAGGACTGGGACCTGGGAGCACAGGTACTTTGTCTCCTCATTTCCCCTTTCCCCATGGACAGTTCATCCTAATCAGCCAGAGCCACCTCCGGCCAGAGCTGTGGTCAGGTCTGTGCTTCCTTGGCCCAGAGAAGCTTGCCGGCCAGAAGGCCCCAAGCCACAGGAAGCAGGTGGCACACGGCACACTGCTTTGTTGTACAGCTGCCAGCTCCCCAAGCATGTCTCTCCATGACTCAGCGCCCTGCACTTGGTCCCCTGGGGCCACAAAGATGAGTACTGTGCAATTTGGCTTTTCTAAGAGCTTTTAATGATGACTAGGTTTTAGAAAGTCCAGCTCTTCACTGGGCTTGGGACATTCTACTTCTGCAGCTGCTGGGGAAAGAGGCTTTGACAGATAAAAAAGATGGAAAAGATGTTTCACCCTACGTATCTTATCATCACTCTCAGAGGGCCTGCGACCAGCCATCTGGATCATTTAAAAAATATTTAGAAAAAAATCAGTTCCTTTTTTTTCTCCCACTCACCACACACTTCCCTTAACTGAGAGCCAGCTTTGTGGAGAATGTGATTTAATTCTGTTAGATTTGCAAGCAAGCTTACCGTCTTCCCTTTCACCCATTCGGTGGCTAAGGAGCTGGAGGCAATTGCAGAACCACAACCAAATGTTTTAAACCTGGCATCCACGATCTTCCCCTCGTCATCCACTTGAATCTAGAAAAGAGACAGGAGTTAGGCCGCCCTGTAGAACCTGGCACTCCTGGAGGCTCACTAGGGCTCTCCCCAGGAGCTTTGGTCTTGCTTTCCACACTTCTTTATGTTTTGGCCATTATTACTGAGTTTGCTTTGTTTTGAAGAATTCAGTGGTGAAAAGTTAAACATAGGAACAATTAATATAGAGTTACATAGATCTGGTTGGTAAAGATCAGCTGAAAAACATGCTCTCTCTCCAGTTTTTGGTTTTGTTTTTTTGCATCCCTAGCCTGATTTTTGGCCATGAAGTTCTGCTCATGGCTGCTGGGTCAATCTGCCTCTTAAAACACTGGGAGGGTCTGCACTAAAGGTCTCTGGTTAATGCTTTTTTTCTTGGGCACCAAATTGCATTTATTGGTTCCCTCCTGCCTTGTTTCTGTTTTCTAAGATATGCATAAAGACTCTGGCAAACGGCCCACCCACTATGTTGAAGCAGATTGTGGATAAAGCTACGTTTTACCCAGAGTGCAAGTCACTACCTTCCTGTTGTCTCCAACTTGGGGGAGGTTTGATTTATTGCATGTCTTATCTCATTGGGGATTGCTAACTGAGTGGCTGTGGTTTTCCTTTGGTCAGTAAAATTCACAAAAGTTTTTACTTAGTTGAAATTGGAATTTAAGCTGATTCAGTGAGTAGAAAAGTGAGATCAGTTTACTGTATCAGAAAGGATCAGCATAGTATACTAACAGGAGAGCAAGGATTCAGGCTCTGCTCTAATCATTTATAATACTGACTCGTCCCATCTCACAGGAATCAAAATGCTGACCAGAAGAAATGGTATAAGTGCAAATGCTTGCAAACTATGAAGCACTGCATAAGCACTGGGATTACCAGTTATTAACATTAAAGATGAAAACCAGCTGTACCTGTAACTTCATTACATCACCACACGCTGGAGCCCCCACTAATCCAGTTCCAACATTTTTAGATGTCTTGTCAAGAGACCCCACGTTTCTAGGATTTTCATAATGATCAACAACCTGAAACGAGAGGGTTAAGAGAAATCATGATCACTTTTTTTGGCACTGATTTGACTTGATGGTAAGCTCCTTGAAGTCAGCTACCTGAACTTGGCAGGTGATCACTAAATACCAAATTTCACCTGGGTAGAAAGCCTTACACTCATGTCAGTGAGAACCATTTGTGATCCAGAGATTTCAAAAAAATCAGCGGGCCGGCCGAGTGGCGCGATGGTTAAGAACTGGCTTGGGATGCCAGAGGGCCCCGGTTCGGATCCCACATATGAGGGCCAGTGACACTGCCCTCTACAGCTAAGATGCTGAACAACAGCTCAACTTGGAGCTGGGCTGCCGTGAGTCCGGGCAACGGTATAGGCCGCTGCCCCTGCTGCAGTGGGTTGCCATGGGCTACCGTGTGTAGCCAGCAGCCAGCGTGAAGCAACATTCTCCACAACTAGACTGAAGAACAAAAGGACAGCAACTTGTCTGTTCCCCTTCCCCCAATTCCCCAATAAAAATCTTTAAAAACAATCAGCAAAATCATGTCTTAGTTCCATAGGGTTTTTAAACACATAGAATTACTTGACCTTTACCCACCAAAGTCGCCAGATTTGGGCTCATTTTTATTATTTCCAAATCAAATCCATTCTCAGTGGATAATCATTACTATTAAAACAGTCTAAAAAATAACTATGGTCCATAAATTAAAGGCTTTCCCAGAACCCTCAAGGAGGCTGTTACAGGGGAACAATGAATGCTGTGGAACGTGTCCATGATGATGATAAACAATCAGTTCCATAACTGTTTCAGGGTCATGAAATCGCCCTGGTGCAGCAGCGCACCCTGGTGGCTGGAAGGGCTGCCTGCCCGAATTCAGTCAGAATGTACTGTCAAGAAAACACACCCCTGGGTGGGGGAGGAGCAAGGTCCTTTGAAATGTGCTGAAGCCAGGCAGAATAAATATCTATTCAAACTGGCATACAGAAGTCTTTAATAAGCTTGAGATTTGTTTACCAGTTAGCCCTAAGTATACCGATCTTCCATTCCCCTCCCTCCACCAATCCAACCGCAGATATTGACTCCAAGCCCAAGGACCTACAAGATAATATCCAATCTGGATTTTTTTTGCCCCATGTTGATTTACTGCATTTTTTAGTTAGTCGTCCCGAGTGCGAGAGTCTCAGGTCTAAAGGACTTTACGCCCCCGGAAGGCAAGGGCTGCAAACTACGCACCTATCCCCAACCCCCTGCCCCAAAACAAAACGAAAATAAAAACATCATGATTGTTGGTCACGTGTCTGACTCCATTCGGGGGCTAAGAATTCCTACAAGAATAACAACAGCGGCACCATGCAGAGGACTCCCAAGCATTATTTCGTGTAGGGGGCTGCTAAAATACTTATTTTACAAATGGGGAAACCCAGGGGAAACAAGCGGAGAGCAGTGACTTGTCCAAGGTCGCTTGGCCAGGGCAGTGGCCTGGCTGAAGCCGAAGCCCGCCCGGTGTGGGGGAGGGTGTATGTTTGTGTTTGTGTGCGCGCGTGCGCGTGTGTCAGGCTGGCAAGTCATAACAAGACCCTCCTTCCTGGGCTGCTGGCATGTTTAAAGGCTAGTATGCCAGACATCGCAGCCAGCGGCGCGGCCCACGGGCAGTTATTTTTTTTTCACGCGCAGTGTCACTGCGCAGCGAGGGAAAGTTAATTGAGGCAGAGTCGTGCGAGGGGGCGGGTCCTCCATCCAGGTCCCGTCACTACCCCGGGCCATAATGGGGGATCCCCAGGCCGGGCTGAATCCCGCGGCCACTCCTCCCTAGGCTGGGCCTCCGTCGGGGGCCGGCACACTTGGGTTCCTTGTGTAGTCCTCACACTCCCAACCCCCAGATCGGTGCGGAGTCCGCACACCCCCTCGCCCGCCCCTACCTTCTTGTGATAGAGCCGGGCCGGAGCTGACAGCTCCCGGGTCGGCAGGCGGGGGCTCCGGAGCAACAGAGCCGACGCCGCCCGCCTAAGACGGCCACCTCCAGCCGCCGCCATCTTGCGGGTTTGCGCCTGCGCAGGCCAAACGCGAAACCAAGGAGTGGTGCGCTGCTATGAGTCGGCTCCCTGTTACGAGGACGCGCGCCCTTACGTCACCGCAACTTCGCGCCTGCGCCCTTCATCTCCGTGCACGTGTCAGCGATTTGGCCCCGCCTTGACCACGCCCTTTGGGGCGGGCGGGGCGTGGAGCGGGAAGGTCTGAAGTCGCACGAGTGATTGTTCTTCGAGCTGGGTTTGGATCCAAGCAGACTTAAGCTGTAGTGCAGGATCCAAGTTTGCGTTCATAAAGCCCACCGCCGGAATGCGGTGCATAGCACCAGTCCACCTTTCTTAACCCTAATTTACAGCTAAGAACGTTGAGGTTCAGAGCGGTTTAGTAACTTGTCCAAGGTTGCTCAGAGATTCATTTGGGATTCGAATTCGGACAATCGCCAGTTAGAATCCCGGTCCCGCTCCTTCCTGGTTGTGTGACCCTAAGCAAATGACATCAGCTCTCTTAGCCTGTATCTTCTCTTTTTACTACGTAATTCAAGGACAATCCTGTCATGAATAAATATGTGTTGAGTACCTACCATGTGTCAAGGCGCTACATACTAGGCTTTGGGGATCCAACGGAAAGAAAAAGACATACTTCCTGCCTCATTAAGCTTGCTAATGAAGGAGAAAAACAATAAATAAATACGTCAATACTTCCCTACCTCAAAAATGGGAATCATGAGAAGGGAACGAACACCATGTCTTGATTTTTAGAAATGTATCTATGTTTATGCCTGTATCTATTTCTATATAAACAGTAAAATCAGAATTTATATGACAATACCTGGCAATTGAGAGTTTCTAATTAAATGCTTAGTAATGTAATTTATTAATATTGTATTGGTTTGCAGAATATGATCTCATAAAAAGAGAAAAAACGCAGACGTGTGTTTAACGCCCACTAGGCACCAGGCAGTACATAAGGGGGAGGAATCTCGTTGGGAAATGGGCTTTTCTCACGAATGGGGCAATCGATCTCCGAGGGCTTGGCGTTTTCTCTGCGTTTCAGTATCAGTTGATGAGAGACGTGAACCACGCGCCAGGTCAGAGACTAGGCGGTAAGGAAAGCGTTTATTCCCAGAATCATTTTGACCTTCTCAAGATGGCGCCAAACCCTTCACTACAGTCATCACGCTCACTCTATAACTTCCTCTAATGGCCTCCACTTCCTGTCCAAAGACCCAACTTCTGTCCGAAGTTGCGACGGGACATATGCCGTGTTAATGAGTTCTTTTTCTCACGAGAAGTTGTACACGTATATAAAAAAACATGAGCTGAGTGTATTTAGAGGTTTGCCCATCATCCGAGGCTCACGCTGTCCCTTTAGGTGGGAAGAGAGCTAGGTTTTGATCAGGCGCGCGCCGCGGGCAGCTTCTACTCCAGTGGGTCTTCGGCGGCCTAGTGAAAACCCGGGAGTGACTGGAAGCGCAAGATGGCGACGGCGGCCGCAACATCGGCTACAGAACCCGAGACTGAGCCCAAGGCGGGGCCCAAGGCTGAGGGTGAGGAGGATGAGACTAAGGCGGCTAAGACGAGAAGGAAGGTGTTATCGCGGGCTGTGGCCGCTGCGACATACAAGACCATGGGGCCAGGGTGGGACCAGCAGGAGGAGGGCGTGAGTGAGAGCGATGGAGATGAGTATGCCATGGCTTCTTCAGCGGAGAGCTCCCCCGGCGAGTACGAGTGGGAGTACGACGAAGAGGAGGAAAAGAACCAGCTGGAGATCGAGCGGCTGGAGGAGCAGGTGCGCCCGCGGGGTGGGCAGCGGGCTCCATTCCCTTGGGTTCCCAGGCCCCGGCCCGCCTCCCCGGTTCTGAGTGGCATTAGAGCCGCCGGGGCCGCAAACCCGCTATTAATCGCCGTAGCTCCCAGCATTTGGGCGCTCACTGCTTGTCTGCTGCCTTGCAAGCGTTATCCCATTAAACCCTCGCAACGACCCAGTGAGGAAGCAGTGTATGCCCCGTTTTACTGGAAAAAACTGTGGCTCCTCGTGGAGGGGGAATTCTCTTGTTCAGGATTAATACTTCCTGCAAGTGGCGAGTCAGGCTTTGAACTTGGAACCGACTCCACACCCCCCCCCACACACACACCGTTAATCTATGTCCGGCAGTAGGAATAAGATTCTTAATTGTAAGAGAGCATTCTTTTCCTGTAGGAATGAGGACGTTGATGAAGCACGGGGTGGTAGGAAATCTATTGACCTTGAGGATGATAATGGAAATGGAAAGGGTGAGATTTCAGCGTCTGGAGGCTAAGGCCCCCGTTGTGATGGTCCATAACTGTGTGCTTGGGCGGATTTCTTCATTTCTCTGAGCCTCGGCTTCCTTGTCTGTAAATTGGCAACAATTCCTGCATCATGTAATTGTCATATTAATTGTCATGTAATTCTAGCTAGGTGCTTGGCACCTAGTAGTAACATGATCTCTAGGTTGTAACTCCTGTGTAATCCAGAGTCCCAACAGGCAATGGGGGCACATGCATATTAGGATAATTTGAGAAAAGGTTAATAGAGCGACTGCAGTGTTGATAAAGATGTCGACAGGGAAACCAGGAGTGAAGGTTTAGTACCCCAGGGCTCTGTGTACCTTTTGGTAGAGGTGAGGAGAGTGGCCGGTGTCCCGAACAGTTGTGTGGAAAAGGGTACCTTAGGTCAAAGGATGCAGCCCCAGTTGCCCCTCAGGGATTGGGGTGGGGGAAGAAATACCCTGACCCACCTCTCTTCCTCTCTCCAAACCTCTGCCGGTGCCTTCTGCTGGGCAAACCCTGCTGGAGGGAAGAGAGCCAGCCACCCCGTGTATGTGGTCCACACAGCAGGGCACAGGGCAAGGAGGGGAGGGTGGAGTGAGTTTGGAGGGGCAAGTGCATCCAGCACATTTTCATTTTACAGACCAGGAAACAGGCTCAGAACAAATGATGACATGACTTGCTCGAAGTCACTCATAAGAGAGGGGATGTGAACTTTTCAAGGTCGTAGACCAAATGCTATACTGGATACGAAATCGCTTAGTGATGTGCAGTTGTTAACCTAGCTTACTCAGCCTTGCTGAGTGTGAGATTCCTTATAATGTCTTTATTAGCAGTGATATTTGTGTTAGGTCGTGCAAGAGTAGTATCCTCCTTTGGTCTATAGCTCATCCTGCTCATCATCACATCTAAATGTGAAAGGAACCAGTGGGGGTAGGCAGATGGTTACCATTCCTGCTTTTTATAGGTGAGTATTCCGACATCCAGTCAGTCTTTTATTCATTCAGCAAACAGTGTAATATGGGGTTCAGGCTGGATCCCTGTCCTGAGGGAATCCTGTTCTTCAGTCTTCTGACCTTGGGCCTTTCAGTGAACCATGAGCTCACTTGGATCTTGCTATTCTATGAAGTAGGGGAAATAGGATTATCTGTTTGAGTGAAAGGGGAGGCTTGTAAGCAGAGAGATTAAGTCCTTAATGGAGGGTGCCCAGTTTACTAGAGAGGAGGATGGGTCAGAGCGGAGGTCTCCTGGGCACTGTTGTTTTGCAGTTGCCCCCCGGTCCCAGGTCACTGAGGTTGGGATGGAGCTCAGAAGGTGACCACACAGCATGGGATCTGACAAGTGATGGTGAATTGAAGAGCCTCTGGCTTTATCCTCTTTGCCCTGGGGTCTAGAAATTGGCCCAATTTTTCCAAACCTCTCTCCCACCACATCCTAATCCCACAGCTTCTAGTTCCTGCTGTAACGCCTCTTATGGTGGAGCGTAATGATGAATGACTTCCAGATAGGCCTGTGAAAAACTCAGCTGCCAGTTTTGCAAATTTCAGTTCTCACCCCTGAGTGTATTTTATGAAAGCTCACAAGTAAGTACCTGTGGCATCTGTGCTTGTAACTAAAGCAGAGGTTTCCCATTGTTTGTGTTCTGAAACAGAACATGGCACCTCATGGTGCCTTACACGTTATTTCAGTTCCCTGAGCCTGTGGTGTCCCAGTTGGTAAAACGATGTTGCAATATTTCCTCCCTCAAGAAGCTGTTGTGGAGCTTTAGTGACACGATGTGTGTAAAGCTCCTGGCAGAGTCTGACACATAGTAGGTGCTGTGCCAAGGCCTGCCCCATTCTCCTTTCCTGTGATTGCAGCAGTGTGTCCTTTCACCAGGCCTCTGTCATTTCTTCACCACCATTCCCGGTCCAGCGTGTGCGCTGTGAGGGAGTTACGACATCAGTTAGCAGTCACCGTGTGCTCTGGCTGAGCCGCCTCCTTGTTTAAAGCATCCTCTGAGATTAATGATGTCCTGAGACCAGAAAAGACCAGCATGTGTACTCGTTTGTCAGTGCTGATTGAACTCTGTGGGAATGTCTCTGTTCAGTGCATTTCACTATGCATTTAATATACACACTTTCAGAGCACCTCCCCAAATATAGTATCTTCATTATTTGAGCCTAAAAGTCAGAAATTTAGACCAAAAATCATCTTAGGGCCAGTTCCTCTGTATCAGTGACTTTTATATCTTTTCCTTCTGACCTACATGTACTCACGTGAGGGGCACTTGCATAGACATTCTTTTCACTAACTAGTAAGGACTCGCCCACCCCTCTTCATGCTCAGAAAACACATTCAGACCCGGGTGAGTTATGTGAGAGGTGGGGTGACAGGAAGAACCTAGAATGTTGTTCATTGAGGAAAGTACTTCTTCCACAAACTTTTTAAACTGTTGTTACTTGTGTGACACACTTGACGGTCAACTGTGAAAGATCAGTGTGTTATGACAACCCGCTGGAGAGCCAAAGGTTGACTCCAGCTCCTGTCTGGTGCGAGGGAGGAAACCAAGAACCAATGGAGAAGATTAAAACACTGGTGTCTTCACTGAGTCCAGCCCTTTTTCAACCCATCACGTAATCATGGCATGGGTTCAGCTTGTCAAGTTTTATAAATCACGAGCAGGAGAACATTGCTAGAAGTTGTAAGATTTTTTTTTTTTTTAAGATTTTATTGGGGAATTGGGGGAGGGGAACAGACAAGTTGCTGTCCTTTTGTTCTTCAGTCTAGTTGTGGAGGACATTGCTTC